AACATTCAGGATATCGTCGATTAACGAGCCTGATCTAACGGACTTCAGATTTAATGGACAAAATTTTGAATTTATTTCTGCTACCAGTACTTGGCATTTTCCGATTGTGGTACCTAAGAGAATCTCGGAAAGAAATTGAATTTGCTTTGATTCACAATGACGTCATCATTAAAAATGAAACTGAATAAATAAGCGACTGCTGTTATTCACGATACTATATTCGTAACTTCTGCAACCCAGTGCATGCCTATCATTTTTATATGATGGGAACAAAAGAATATGCTCTTTTCCATGAGGAAGATGAAAGTTGAAACATTGGCTGAAGTTGGAAAATTCTTGCAGTCTCCCGTCACATTCACGATTGGACCATTTGGCGCCCTTCTTTTCATGAAGTTGATAGTTCGGTGTTGATATCCGTTTTTCTGTCGTCAGCCTGGAGTGCGTTTATTTTTAAGGTAAGGTTTAGAACCTTGTGGCAAGCGTAGCATGAGGTGCCCTGTTTCCTTGCCTGTAGAGAGGTACTCATTTATAAACCTCAGGAAGAATAAAGGCACCGGGTTTGAACTCAGGACCTATCAGTTCTGATTTCGGCACGCTACCCACTGACCAACGCCAGTCTGAAGCCATGTGTTATAAATTCGCTGCTAAATGGAATTCGCGAATAAAACAGAGATTGCCCTCGAGCGGAATCGAACCTCCCACCTCCAATGCTTGAAGCAGACCTCTTGGACAACTGTGGCAACAAGCCACCCACAGACGAACATGAAAATGGTCCTGGATATCAAGGGATGGCAGAACTAACTAGATGATGAAGTTTTGACTCGCCATAAGGGCGACGAAGCAACGAGATGATTCAGAAGGACCACCAATCTGGAAAATTAGAGTTACAGTTACGATTTCATCTGTACAACTTTATCTCGTTTATTGACTCATCATCAGGTCCTCAATTTTAGCAGTATTACCCTCAATTCCAAACTTTCAGAGAGATTATTCATAACATTATCATTAACTCATTAATTATCCAAAACACAACTGTCAGTTAGTAAACCAGTATTTCGATCGCCTAAACCGCACAACTCCTGTTCAGCTGGTGCCAATATTTTGCCGTAACTGACAGTAAAGTGATTTCGGGATAAATAATTCTTCCGATAATAAAAAAGCAAAATAACATGTTTTTCCTAATCAAAACTAGTGTTTAATTTGTTAACAATAAATACAATCTGCAATAAATAAAAATGCTATAAGTATAGGAAATGTTTGTTCTTCATCTAAAGAAAGGTGACGCTTCGCTTCGAAATGCATGATTTATCATGCAGCGTTTCGCGGTTTTATTCGGACGATATTTTATGGACTTTTTTAAGGTAAAGATTCATTTTTTTTATTTTACGGACATCCCTTTCCACCAAAATGTCAATAAAATGGAAAATACGATGCATTAACAATTTAAAAAAAAGTCTCTACGATCCTCCGTTAATTTTTTTCATTCACAACTATCATCATTTCCATTTGATGATCTTAGACTCTCTTTAAAATAAATATGATGTAGATGCATTCATAACGGAGAAATGAGCTGTAGTTACACTGAACATAAATTCGTTTCAGGAAAAACATTTCTGCATAAACATTTTCGGTACATTCAAATGTAGAATCGCTTACATTACCTCAAGTAGATAGTGGTGAAATGTCCACCACCAATGCCACTGCTATGCGAATCCATGACCCCAATGCAGAAGGCAGACGCAATCGCAGCATCAACGGCGTTGCCCCCTCGTTTCAGTATGTCTGCTCCAATGTCAGAACATACACCGTTGTCAGCCGCTACCGCCGCTTTAGAATACGTTCCAGCAGCGGAATGTTCACATGCGAATCTGCTTTCGTAGTTTGGCTAAAGGTAGACAAAACCTTAGTGAAATGGATAAATGAATTGGATGCGAAAAACGGTAGTGTACGGTCTATAACGAAGTAACTCTAACTGAGTAACTATAACTATTACTGAGTAGTGTATAACTAAGTAGTCTAGTAGTAGTAGTAGCAGTAATAGTGGTCTATAGTTGAGTAGAGTGCGATCTGGTATAGCGCGGTAGGTGCTCAGATTGAAGAATCTTTTTCACAACAACCAAGTAAAAGCCAAAATGTGGTTTGTAAAATATTCGCAATATACAGTAGATGTTATAGAAATAATAAGACCCCAACACTGATAGTATAAGAATAGGCAAACATCTAACCATTATCTGCAACATTCCAAGTCAAATGTCCATTCATAATATCCCACGCCGCTCTAAAAAACTGATGCTTCAAAAATGAGTGTTTCGATAATTATCAGGGCCAGCATAGAGTTGGGCTACTAGCAAGGGAATAGCTTCATATCGTGGTCGAAAAGAAAGAAATTTGCTATAAATGCTTTTCCTATTCTTCTACGTCAGGGTTGAGTTGCAATCACTAATTCACTGTTAGGCATCTCTACCTGATGCGGCAGGAAATTATTCATTGTTTAATTCCACCTCATTACTGATGTTAGTAACGCGAAACGTGTCGATTGTTACGTAAAATCTTACTGTAGCAGGCCTTACTGGAAGTTGGCTCCAGCAGCAACGACAACGATCAATTAGCCAATGAGGCATCATATGGTGGCAGGGGACGCCCTGTTTATAGACCACGTAATTCAGTCATGACGCATCCAGCCGTG